CCAAATACTTTGCAAAACAGACAATCTTTTAAAACATCCAAACAACAGACTTAAGGCATTGTAAAGCAGTGAACCAGTGTCACATAAACTGGGGCTCTGAACTGCTTATGTTTGTCACTGGGCACTTGCTTTTTTTTACTTAAATACTTCTGCTCTTATCTTTAAAATTCTTCAATCATTTAGCTGAATCCCAAACCTGACATCATACCAAGGAACAAATGTATTGGATTTGTGTGGCAAAGTTTTGGTAGTGGTGGGCTACAGGGGTGGTTTCTGTGAGAAGCTGTCAGAATCTTCCCCCATGTCCAGCAGAGGCAATGCCAGCTGGCTCCAGGGCGAGCACACCCTTGGCAAGGATGAGCCCAGCAGCAACAGTGGCTGTTCCTCTGGGATAAGCGAGTTAAGAAACGGGTGAAAAGGTGCTACTGCACAGCGGCAACTGCAGCAGGAGAGAGGAAAAACAGGTGAGAGGAAGCCCTGCAGACACCAAGGCTGGCACACAGGAGGGGCAGGAGGTGCATCAGGTGCCTGAGCACAGGTTCCCCTGCAGCCCCTGGTGCAAACCATGGCAAAGGCAGCTGTGTCCCTGCAGCACATGGAGACTCCATGGCGGAGTAGGTGGATGCCCACAGGCAGCTGTGACCCCATGGGAAGCTTGCACAGCCTCCTGGCAGGACCTGTGGAGAGAGAAGCCCACACTGGAGCAGTTTTGCTGGCAGGACCCCAGGAGGGATCCACACTGGAGTAACTCACAGAGGACTGTCTCCTGTGGAAGACACCCTCTCTGGATTAGGGGAACAGTGTGAGCAGTCCTCCCTTGTAGAGGAAGGAGCAGCAGAGACAACGTGTGAGGAACTGACTTCAGCCTCCACTCCTTGTCCCTCTGTGCCACAGGTGGGAAGGAAGTAAAGAACTGAGAGTGAACCTCAGCCTAGGAAGAACTCAGCCTAGGAGTGGGGGAAAAATATTAAGATTTTGGTTTATTTCTTATTATCCTCCTCTGTTTTGACTGGTAATAAATTAAACTCATTTTCCCCAACTCAAGTTGGTGCTGTCCATGACCCAATTGCTGAGAGATCACTCCCTGTCCTTACCTCGACCCATGAGCCTTTCATTCCATTCCCTCTCTCCTGCCCAGATGAGGAGGGCAGTGACAGAGCAGCTTTGTTGGGTACCTAGCATCCAGTCAGGATCAAACTGCTACAACTACATAAGCCTATATAAAAGTATGAAGAAATGCAAACTTTAGTAACCCTGGACTGCATTTTAAACAGCCATGTCACCATAAAGTCTAAGAGAAAGAAAATGTTTTGTTTTCATTCTCTAAAAAGCACTAACATACACATAAATTCTAAGTCTTTTATAAACTGCAAGTAATGGAAAGTCTATCACTGTGACTGCAGCTTTCCTGTAGCTACAAGATCCTGATGATCCTTAACAATAATTTCTTACCTGGTCCTAGACATTATGCAGATGGTGAAGAGATTGAGAGGTGTAAAAAACTTCCACCATAAAAAAATGTAAGTCACATTACATATCAGACAACTCAATGGTTGTACAATGACAGCTGACAGACCAAAAAAACCCCAATCCTTTCAACAGCTCAAAGCCATAACAGTCATCTTTGTTTATATGAATGGAACAATTTTATCACAGTTTAATAACATCACCAACGCCAGTTATAGATGAGCTCATAACATACTTGTGTTAACAACTTAGTCTGAAATACAAAAACCTTCATCAGCTCCCCAGAGACTGCAGCAACACAGTATACCTAAGCATAAAATAGCCAGCTTCAAAAAAATACAAATTAATATAGAATGCTGAAATATTTTCTTGTGATTAACACAAAACACCAAGAGCACACATCTCTGAACTAGCTTCTCCACACAGTACCGATTCAAGTCAAAATTCTTATATTCTACATTCTCTGTGCCTCCTTCAATCCACCTAAAAAAATCATGTCAAGTTTGAGAATGTAAAATAGGAATTTATAACTTTATCTCCTGGGTGCAATGAACCTTTACCATAAATACAGAAGCTGTGTAGGATTACTGGTTACAATTTTGTGAACTTCTCCTCCAAACACCAAGTACCTCCAATCTTCCCTCAAACATCACTTAGAGACCGTATACAAAGAAGTCAAAACCCAAAGAAGTTTCCACAGTCCTTGGATCTTACAGCAAAAGTCACAGTCCTCAAGGGCAGAAAGGAGAAAGAGAACACACAATGTATGATTGTTATATCACTTAATACAGTTCAGAAAAGTGCTCAAACACCTTAATTATGTGATACAAAATCCTCTGTGCATTGGGCTAGAGAGACCTCTGATCCTACAGCTGAATGCCTGCCCAGTCCCACACTCCAGCTGTGAGCAACTGGCTGCTACTCCTGGAGCTTGGAGCACAAGCAGCATCAGCACGACTCCACCTGCAAGACACGATGCAAACCCACACAATATAATGCTGAAAGGAGTCGTTCTCTGTGTAGACTCTATTATTTCACTACTTCCACATTTGCATGTCAGATGGAGAACTTGCACTGAGGACTTTGGGCTTCTTTAGTTTGGAGAAAAGGAGGCTGAGGAGAAACCTCATTGCTCTACATTTTCCTGAGGAGAGGACATGAAGAAGGAAGTGCCAATCTCTTCCCTTTGGTATCCAGGGTCAGGATGACTGGGAATAGTTCAAAGCTGCACAGGGGAGGCTTAGACTAGACATTAGGAAGCATTTTATAATGAGTAGGTGGTTAAACATCAGAAGAGGCTTCCCAGGGAGGTCGTTGGTGCCCCAAGCCTGTCAGTGTTCAAGGGGCATTTGGACAATTCCCTTAATAACTTCCTTAACTTTTGCTCAGCCCTGAGGAGTCAGGCAGTTGGAGTAGATGATGGCTGTAAGTCCTTTCCAACTGAAATATTCTATTCTGCAACCAAGTACGGCATAAAGAAAGTGGTGACTAAATGTAGCTTATTCAGGGTCTTTACTATTATCCCGTATGGATTCTGACCAGTGTTGATCATTAAAACTTTTATAGACAACGCTAGTTAAACATTTTATACCTTTCTCAGATTAAAAAATAAACAAAAATCCTCTACAGTGACAGGAATTCACTAGCTTTTGGAAAGCTTTTAAAAAAATAACTATGTTAAAGAATTAATGCATCTGTCAAAGATTCCATTTCCAAGACAAGGTGCATAGTCTTGGTTGAAACAGTTAAACTTTTAATCAAAAGGCTATAATAAAATATTTGAAAAAGGGTTTGACACATACATGATCAAATGAACTGTATTTGTATCTGTATAAACAGATAAAATCATCATTTATTTTACTATAAATCTTATTCTTCTAGCTGCAGTTTCATTGTTTTATTCACGCATTAAAATGACGTTTTGTGGTCTGGTGGGCTGTTGGCTCACTGTCTCAAAGGTACAGGTGTTAGAGAGCAAGGCCAGTCCACCTTGCTCCTTCTCACTGACCAGCTGCCAACAGGCACCCTGTGTTCACACAGCAACACACTGCAGCTTTTGCTTCTTCTCCAAAGTCACGTTTATACAAGTACCATTAATTAAAACCATTGTCCCCCTCAGACGGTTCAGCTCATCCCCCTTGGCACTAGCTGTTTACTTCACCTGATGCTCTTACAAATTAAACAAGACATTTTTCTCCACACCTTTGTCCTTCTTTCTGTTGTCTGGACAGTGCACTGAGGAAACTGAGAAAAGGGTGAGGAGTGCAGAGAAAAAACTGGGATCATCAGGAAACAGCAGCTGTGAACAGGGCTAAGCCAAAGAATCAGGGCAGAAAAAAAGGACATGGCTATAGCATGCTATCACTGCACAGGACCACAGCAGGGCAAGGAGAAGATGGAGGTGAGGGTAGGCTTGCGTATGAATAGAACTTTAAAAAACAAAACCAAACTTGGGAATAGGCAAAAGCAAAGAAGCCCTGGTAGCAGGAAGAGAAGGGGGAGCAAAGACTAGAAGGGAGGAAGAGGTTGGCACGAACCTAGTCTGAGACTGTAAATACTTTGAAATACAGATACAGAAACTGAGAAGGAGGAATCAAAATGCAGACAGAGAAAATATTAGTGGCAATGGGGCAAAAGGCTTGTTCAGAGGGAAAAACAAATCTGTGGCTATAAGAGTATCAAGAATGGATACCTAAAAACCTCAGATTTCCTTGTGCTTCCTCTGCTACTATAAACCACTTGTGCATTTCTCATTTAGTCCCAAACTTGCCAAGCCATTCTGTAAGTCTGCCTCCTCAGAGCTCCTTAGTTTTTCAACACGCAGTCCCAGTGCTTTATCAAACACATGTTATTCAAACCCTGCCTTTGACTCAGAATGGAGGAAAACCATATGCAACGAAATTGTTTTTACAGAACGACTACGGACTGAGGACTGCTGTTAATGCCGATCATCCTTAACTTTTCAGTGTTTGTCTTTGCAAGTCTTAAAACGTTCCGATGACCTTTGTACATGTAATCTGCCTAGGGCTGGCACTTAACTGCCACACGGCGTGACAGCGGAAGCAACCACGCCAAAGGCGGCGCGTAGGGAGCAGCGCTGCGAGCGCAGACGGACGCATGTGCTATGGCAGCGCCCTGTTACGTGGCAGCCGGCAGGAGGAATCAGCCGTGCGCACGCAGGCACGGCCGGAGAGGCGGCGGATCCGCACGGACGCAACCGCAGCCCCGGCAGCAGGGCCCGCGGCCCGCAGAGCCCCCGGGAGAAGCCGCGCCGCGGGGAACGCGGGCGACAGGCGGGCTCGGAGCCGCCACGGCCGCGCCGGGCCCCGGCTCTCACGCCGCGCTCCCAGCCCACACCCGTGTGGGAAAGCGCTGCCCCGGGGCTCTTTGCGGCCAACTCCGGGCCCCGCTCGCTCTCCCCGGGGAGCGCTGGACGCTCCGAGGCGGCGGTGAGGGCCGGGCTGCCCGCCCTGGAGGAGCCGCTGCCGGCGGCCCCCGCTGCCCCTCGCCCTCCCCCCCGGGGCTGCACTCACCACCTCCCGCGCCCTGCTGGTGAAGTCGCTTTTGGAGCGGGCGGTGCCCCGCTTGAGCAGCTCATCCCTGGCGCTGTCCCCCGTCGCCGCCACCCCCAGCGCCTTGTTGCGGGTCTTCACGGTCTTCACGCTGGCCTTGAAGAGCAGGGTGATGTCCACCGCCATGGCGGCCGCCGGTGCCGCCGCACGCCCTTCCCCGCGCAACGCGGCCCCGTGCGGCGCGTTCCGGCTGAGGGGCGGGGAGGCCGCGGCGGCGCGGGAGCGGCTCCGGCCGCGCCGGGCTGGGGCTGCCCGGGATAACAGCGCCCTGCCAGGAACGGGAGGGAACGGGATGGGACGGGAGCCGTGTCCCGGCACAGCCTGCACGTGTAAACAGCGCTACGTAAACGCTGTGCGGAAAATAGAACACGTACGGTGTAAGGACCCCGCTCTAGGGCGTCTTGCCAGGTGTAGCCAAGCAGTGCTGGTGCAAGGCAGGTTAATTAGAGTTGATTAGTACATATTAACGAGATCTGCACTGCGATCTGGGGCAGGCGCTGGTGTGAGGCTTCCCTAGGCAATGCCATCAGGTGTGATCAGACTCTGCTCTCTTCTCCGTGGTGACAGCGACAGGACCCGAGGCAATGGCCTGAAGTTGTCTCGGGGAGGTTTAGGTGGGATATTAGAAAATGTTCTTTTCCCAGAGATGGATACTGGCTCAGGCTCCCCAGGGAAGCAGCCACAGCTCGAAGCCTGGCAGAGTTCAAGGGGAGTTTGGACACTGCTCTCAGGCACACGGGCTGACTCTGGGATGTCCTGTGCGGGGCACCAGGACTTGGACACGATGATCCTCGTGAGTCCCTTCCAACACGATATTCTGTGTTTCTGTGATTCCATGTATATGACCACTTATCCCTGTGTAGACAGAGCTCCCTTGTCACACCTGGAGTGTGCAGCGATGGTTTCCTCTGCAGAAGAGAAAGCTGACTTCCCAGGTCCCCCCATCTGCTGCCGTCCTGCATGGGACAGTGTCACATCAGTACCTGCAAGATGTATCACAATGCTTGTAGTCTGATTCCAGAATAAACGGTGAAATAACCTTTGTTATAGATGCAACTTTATTATAGTGTTCTGTGCAGTGGCCTAGCCACGTGAGATTACTTGGCACAGTGGAGAAAGCTTTTGACCAAATAACTAGTGGTGGTGTTTATATAAATGTGTTTATGCATACATATGTGCCACCCAATGCTGGCATCCAGCAGACACCATGTAGTTTTTAACTGTCCTTTCATTGACCAGAAGCACATTCATTCCCTCACACAGTCTCCAAAGAGCACAATTTCAAAATCCTACCTCACCCCAGCAGACTGAAACTTAATCAACCAGAACTATTTTTCCTATCTACTCCAGGGTATCAGGCTTTCTTCTCATGTTGATTACTACTCTGCTTTCAGTTCGGTTCCCATCAATTCAGCCTTAGCTATATATTAGTGGTTCCCTCACGGTTATATTGTAATTAGCATTCATTCATACTTTGTTATTATTGTTCTATTTTAAATTGTGTTTTTATTGTGGTACAGATGCATATTTCTAATTAAAGGAATAAACTGTTTTAAGTCTCTGTCCTCGGTGCTGGATTTACCACGAGAATATATTTAAGGCATTAAATAAGTGGACAATGAAGGAGATTAAAGATGTCATTCCAGGAATGCCAGCAGTACTTGATTGAACCCTGAGCCAAATGCTTTCTCTTGCAAGATTAAGAAATTCAGTATAATGATACTTCAGCCTAGGACATGTTTAATAAGCTATGTAAAACACACACATAGTAAATCAGATCCTTTCAGGTATGTTCCCAATATTGATGGATTTTCTTTTCCTTGCCTTACCAAAACCTGAGCAGTCACATTTAATAAACTTTCAGGAATGACTTGATCATGCTGACATCCTTAGTCTTAGACTCCTTGAAGACACATCTGAGGCATGTTCATGAATGCTACCTTTCAGGTAATTTTCATGTGCTGTGGTTCTGCCATCCTTATCATAATTAATAACTCATTCCACATGCACATTCTTTCACAGGCACTTGCACAGGTCAGTTTTTGTCAGTAGAAATAAGAAGGACACATCTTGGCCCATGGTAGTATGCTGCTGAAAGTGTAGGTGGTAGCACCAACCTGTGGTTTTGTGCACATTCAACTATATGGTTTGTTCCAATATTTAATGAAGTAAAGATTTACACTCCCTTAAAGTATTCTCATTTAAGTGGCCATTGGATAAGAATCTACAGAGTTTTTCCATTAGAGTGCTGCTTTTTTTTACATTTAAACTGTAGAAATATGGAAGCTATTTTGACATTTTGAACTTCACCTTCCCTTCCTGCTTCTAGAAAAAAACTAGTGCGTAGGTGATAGTGTCAAGTAATAGTTGAATTATTTTCTAATGACATTTAGATTTTTTAAAATAGCTGGAATACTCTATAGATATTTTGACCAAAAAAAGGAATCTGCAGTTCATTAAAGCAGAGTAAATTTTAACAGACATGCTATATTTTACCTCCTAATTTTGCAAAGGTTTATACACATATTAAACTACTTTGAATACTCCCACTGAGGTCAGTGGAACCTCACAAGGCACACACATAACTCTTTTACTGGATCAGGATCTTAGCTGGAAATTCTTTGGGAACAAGATCATGTCTTTATTTCTACTTTTACTTATTTATTTGTGCTTTATGCATGTGACCAGTAGTTACTGAAAAACACCCTGAAACAGTAATAGTAATATTACACAACCAATTTTGAACCTCAACAGTCTTAAAACTTCAATTCCAGCCCAAGGAAATAAACAGAGACACATTTTAGAAGAAACAGAATATTAAAATTCCATATAGCTGATCTCATCTGTCAGAAATAGACTGAACAGTTAATCTGGCAAAAGAAAAAGTTAAAGTACCTTTTTAATGTGAAAGAAGGTTGCTCAAATGGTCTAACTCATTAGGTATATAATACCCAGGGCCTCTGCTGTAGAGATAGATACCTTTGGAGATTACAACTGCTTTAAAATCAGTTGCTAAGAACTGGTGCCCAGAGCTTTCATTTGAACTTGATCCGAGCTTCCTGTATACAGTAACTGCATCTCCTCAGTAGTCATTTGCACTTCCACAGCCACCTTCTTTTAAAAGCTTAGAGCTTACTTTGGAGCAGATATGTTTCAATAGTACATGCTGGAGCTTCCTGTAATTGCTAAAAACACTCACCTTGAAATTTAAGATTTTGAGGTTGGAGTGAAATTCCAAAAACACACACAAAGCACTACAGTCCCACCACAAGCAATGCAGGTGAACTGGTGAGGCCACATGCACTGTGCACTCTGTTGTGTCCTAGCAGGAGCCTGTCTGGAAGAGAAGAAATTAGAACATTGCAAACTACAACAGTTTTGTGTTCAGTGTGAGGACAGCAAACTGATCATCAGGTCTTGGTGTACCTACCTGCTTAATAGGCAGTCCTAGGAAAATCTGCCAGAGAAAAGTTTATGTTTCCCTGTGATTATCAATCAATTGCCCATTAAAGTGGGGCTGGTGGGGCTGTCTCAGAGACAGGTAACTCCTCAAATTGTATTTCCTTTGGTGTGAAAGACAAACAAGAGGGAAAAAACTCCTGAACTTCTTCCCAATGTTACAAAGGTCCTAATTTGGCACAGGCAATAGAAAGCTTCATGTGGTCCATTTTATACATTTTTTATTTTTTCTGGCATAAACCCAGTAGCTTTCTTTATGTGATGGCAGTGTTGCAAACTGAAGAGACTATCAAGAGGAAGGCAGTTTGCTCACAGTGCACATTTGTAACCAAAACAAATCAGAAAGGGAGAAACTCCATTGATGACAATTTGAAGCCAGTAGTGCGCATACTTACTGGCTTACAATCAAAGTAAATACAACTTCGTGGATGTGCAGAGAAATCTTCTTCAGTGTTTAAAAGTGAGGCTAGGAGACAGTACAACCTGTGCAAGGAAAGTATGGTCACTTCATTAAAACAAAGTTTTGTGGAAAGAATGGATATGAACTGCAACTTGTGTTGTCTGTGGTCACAAATATTGGCTGCTAGAAACCAGTTCAGCTGGCAGGAGAGTGATCTTCCATTGATAGTTTGTTAACAACATGCAAAAGTGATGGTAGGGTGGCCCTTACAAAAGGATGGGTAAAACAAAAATGCAAAAAGGGTAGAAAAATTAAAATGTAGAAAGAACCTATTTAAAGAATTGTTGTAAAGGAGAAGAGGGGAAAAAATGGAAAGAGCGTCTCTGAAGTTATTTACAGACAATGATAGGAGGAAGTTATGAGATCTTGACCGTTTTTTTTTTTCAATTTTCTCATAAGAAACTCAAATCCTGCACTGTACATAACAAACCATCCAACATGACAGCTGGACGGGCATTGAATTGATGCTATTTTATGCGCTTTGAAAGAGGAAAAATCAAACTGGAATTTTAATTCTGTTTCAATTGATGTTTCAATTCTGTTCAATTGATTGATGAGCAGTGACCAACTGATGTCAGGGAAACAATATCTTTCTTAATGCCTGAGTGCCTCCCACATTTACAGGGTCAGAAATAACAATAAGCCAAATCAAAGAAATTTCCATTGCTGGGATTTGAGTCAGGTCCAGCATACGTCACTAGAAATCCTACAAGGTTTTTGCCAAACCCACAAAGGACTGGAGTAATTCCATAGCTCCATTTGGACATTTCTGAGGTTAGGCAATGCCTCACTATCTGCTGGATGTCATGCAGATTAGCAGGAGGGTGGCTTGTCCAGTCACCTTTACAGTAACTAAAGAACCAATAAAGGCAACAAATTAATTGACATTGCAGTACTCAAAATCAAGTTATCTTTAGTTCTATTACTTTAAGCTTCTCTATGTTCTCCCAATATTTCCCTGGCTCTCTGACCCTTTTCATGGCTCAGTTGCCCAGAGCACTACTGTGGGTACAAGGGAAGGGATGGGAACAAATAGCTTGTGGAAGAAAGTGTAGGAAGGCTCTGCAACAGCCCCAGGTCAGACTGGTTTGTTCTGTCAGTGAACAAACACTAAAACACAAACCAGCAGAAATAAACCAGGCAGAGTAGCCTCACAGAGAATAATTTTATTCTCGATTGTTTAGTAACTCCACAAAACCAGTGGAAGAGGCATAGAAATAAAGTATTTGTTTTTGTTTGTCTTGGTAGGAGCAGGAGTTGAACTAGATGTAAATAGGTGTTAGAGCACTTTTGGCAGGCATAACAGCTCTGTATAGAGATCCCTGAG